GTCTTTCTTTACCTTTACCTCTGGTGAAATGGGCAGCAGGCCCCAATTTTAGCTGAGGAACTATCAGTAACTGCTTACTGCTGGGTGTGAGAGAATTGATCCTCTTTAAAGGAGTGGTTCTGATAAGCTGACTAGACTCCAGTGAATGAATTTGTAGTGAGGGGGGCCATCTAGGTACAAAAGCTTGACCGGCTAGGTCAGAATTCTTAACATATATGACAGAGTGTATGAAATCTGGTGGAGGGGTGGGGGGTTTTCTGTGGTGATGTTGATGGGGGAGGACAGGTCTACATATTATTAAGATCTAATGTATGGAATGCACAAAACTCCATAAAATATACATAAAAATCAAGCACTAAAATAAAAACATGAATTGAAGTGCAACTTCAGAAGCTTTATAAAATATAATAAAGCCAGAGGAAATCACAGTTAATGGCTGTGAGTTAAACGAATAGTACAAGAACAGAAATGAAAATTTTCTTTTCCATTGTTTTCCCTCTTCAGCCTTCATTGGCTGCCAGTCTGTCTGTGAGCTTGTGCAGAATTAATGGAGACATGATCAAGAACACTGTTCTACGTGTCAACATAATCCTAGCACTTTAGTGGTAGCATAGTAATTACTTTTCTAAATATTTTTATTGATTCAAGAATTTCATACCATGAGTTTTCATCATATTCATACTCCCTACCCTACCCCTTTCCCCCACCTTACCACACCTTCATGTTTTCCAGTATTATTGTTCTTTATTTTTCAGAGTTCTGTAGTGTCTAATTTTTATTGCCCAAGTGCTCTCGAATGTGGGGCTATCCTTTGGATTCTGAACAACCTACCAGGTATCACACCAATAAGGAAAACTGATTCTCCATCTCCCAGCATCTATCCATTCCTAACAGCCCTTAGCTAGGGTTGGGGTCTTCCTGCCAACCTCCAAGATCCATGCTGGGTCCTTGCCTGGCTTGGATTTCCACAAGTCTTGTGCATACTATCATAAGTGCTGTAGGTTTATGCAGGTAGTGCAACTACCCTGTGGTGTCCAGACAGTACCATTTCCTTGTATTCATCCACTACCTCTGGCTCTTAAAAGCTTCCTGTCTCCTCTTCTATAGTGATGCTGAGCCTTGGGAGGAAGGGAGACATACAGGTGTTCCATTTCGGATTGGGCATACCACAGTCTTTTATTCTCTGCACATTGTCCATTTGTGGGCCTCTGTGCTAATCGCCATCCACTGCTAGAAGAAACTAGTCTTATAATATTAAACTGATTCATAATGGCTTATTATTTACTCATAAATTAGTGCATCTCAACTCTCACCAGAGCATAGAAATTCTCAAATGAATATATTCATTAATGAATAACCAAAGAAGAGAAATCATTAAAATATTGGCAAATTAACATATTTAAAAATCTATAAACATCTCTAATATATTAAATAATATATCCCTTAATGTAATGCTCAAATTTAAATAAACAGTAAGTCAAAATGTGGGAAGTGATGTCATTTCTCTACACAATGCAGTTCAATCACTGCAAATTATAGTAGTGCATACAGCTTTGCAATTTTATAAATAATTGTATGTTTAAATGTTCCACAAAATACATACATTAATCATGAAATAATGAAAAGTTTGTATTAAGTTGTTGGAGGTAGTACAGGCCTGTGCAAACAGCTACTTGGGAAGCTGAGGCTGGAGTATCCTAAGTTTAAGGCTAGTTTTGACTAGAAAATGACTTCAAGGACAGCATGGGCAATTTAGTAGGATCTCAAAGTAAAAACAAACAAACAAACAAAAAAGAGGGCTGGGATCTAGTTCAATGGTAGAGCATTTGCTGAGAATTGTGCATAGGACCCTGGGTTCAATCCCCAGTAACATAAATAAATAAATGTTAATAAATTAATTTTAATACATAATAAATTTAAAAAAAATAGAACAGTAAAAATGCCACATCGATTTATTTAATCTGGATTTAAAACCAAGCGAGCTGCAGCTATTCCATTTGTGGCTCTGCTGTCGACACCTGCAATTACTGAGCAATCGCTCATGTAGGTACGTCAGGGAAGAAAAGAAGACTGGCTGAACCTGTCAGGAAGCCTCAAGAACTAGCAAGGGTTTCAAAGGGAAATTGCAGAAATGAACAGAAAGAGCATTGGAAATGGGATTTCATTCAGCTCTATTTCTTGATAGGAAAGTTATTAGAATTAATCATAGAAAGATCAAATTGTAAGTCTCTGAAAAGGCCTGTGGTTTGAGTTTGTGGGGAGAAAATAATGTCAGACAAATTCAATTTCTTTCTTTGACAGAATGACAAAGAAGCCTTTCATGCAATAGGTTGGGAATAGCTTGAGCATCAGACTCTTCTGTATTACAGTTCCTTCTGCAGGCTGGGAAGTGAGATGCTGGCTAGGTGCAAGTACCAAAGGACAGTGATGAGTTCATTATCAGTCACAGCACACAATGAGGAGTACTTCCTTGAGGTTGCCCGGATTCTGTTTGTAATAAGTGTATGAGGTATTGAAAGCTTTGAATAAAGAGTGCTTTGGGGTTTATAAAGCAATCAATTAAAAGTGACCTCTTAATAGTTGGAATACAATAATAGGAATCTGATTCTGTCCTAATGAGTAGAAACTTGTCTTTAAGGAAATTTAGTGTATAACCAATAAAGTCAATACAAACTGCTTTATTCAAATGATTCCATAGAGCTTTCATTCAGGCATTATCTCTGTAAGCCATGTAATATTCCTTAAGAAGGATTGAGAGGGAGGAGAGACCTGGGAAGAGATGGAGATGTGAAAATGGGTGGGAATAATGTGAAAATAATTCTAAGAATTCTAATAATTATTCTAAGAATTATTTTTAAGAAATATTTTTATAAATTACACAGGACAAACTGCACACTAATAGAACTGTACTTGGAATGTGATAGAAATTTTCTATATATAGGCTGTTTGAAATCATTTTAGGAAATATGTAAGCTAAAAATAGTGTAGCAAGGGGCTGAGCAATAGCTCAGTGGTTAAGATCATTGACTGCAGTGGACCTGGGTTTGGTTCCCAGCACTCATGTGGCAGCTAACCGTCTATAACTCCAGTTCTGGGGGATGTGATACCCTCTTTCTGCCTCTTTCTGTGTATGCATGGCAGATGGTTTCCTTTCTAAAATACTTTCTTAGGTATAATTCCAAGTAAAATAATATGTATTACCAAAGATATAGTCTACTCTACTCCTTGTGACTAGGAAAACTGCTTGCTTAGATATTTTCATTAATTAAGTAATTAATTTTTATTTAATGTGTATGAATGTATTGCCTGCATGTATGTAAGTGCACCTGTGTTGTGTGCTATCTGCGGAAGCCAGAAGAGGGCATCAGATCCCCAGAACTGAAGTTACAGATGGTTGTTAGCTGCTATGTGGGTGCTGGGATTTGAACCTGGTTTTTCCTGTGAGAGCTACCAGTGAACTTAACTGCTGAGCCTTCTCTCCAGCCCCTTACTTAGATATTTTAAATACTCAGAAGACATATTTTTATTGTATTTTGTTAGAAGCTATATAATCAAATTAAGGGCATCTCTTCACAGCAGACCCGGCCATGTTTGATTATCATTCTTTAACTTCAGTTGGTGGAGATTGACTCACACACAGCAGCAGCAGGGTCCACATGTCTAGCTGTTCACAGAGGCTTATTCAGCTTTTACCAAACTTATTCACATTTATGTGAGAAATAATATGAATGATCATATGTTTAATGATGACTTATCATTGTGCTCATTGTGTTTTGGGTATTATTCTTTTCAGAAATTGAAAAATTTCAAGGTTCAGATGGAAAAAAGGAAGATGAAGAAAAGAAATACCTTGATGTCATCAGCAACAAAAACATAAAGCTCTCCGAAAGAGTACTGATTCCTGTCAAACAATACCCGAAGGTACTGCACCATAAAATTTCTTCTCAGTGAGTTAAGACAAAAATGAAAAAAAGGAAGGCTTGGCACCTTATACATTGCCTCCTGTAAACTAAACATTTAAAGCTTTGTGAGACTATATGAAAATACATGGCACCAACCCAGGAAGGAAAATTATTTGAAAGTTGATGATGAGACTTTCTGTCAACCGAAGGCTTAGGAATTTTTATTATGTGGATATAGAAAACATAATCACATATTTTAATTATTTATTTCAGTATGGCAGAGACTCAGCAGCCTCTCGATTTATACACACCCACATTCCTATGATATAGTTTGGATTTAAATGCATATTTTATTTCAAAAGTAATAGGATTAAGGATAGTGTATATATATAATATATAATATATATGATATGATA